ACAGAGTTCCAGAAGAGTTCAGAGTTCTTGGAATCCAGAATGCAGAGCGTTTGGGAGTTCATGAATGCAAAACGCAGGCATTCATGGATGCTGCTAAACCAAACAAGCTGAACCAGAGACGATTTTGGGAATTATAACTTCTGTTTGGATAACCTCGCACGACTCTCGAGGTATTTTAGCTGTTCTCAACGGAGACGCTGAAAGTGGCGCGAAGTAGGACTTCACGCCGACCTGATCTATCTTCAGAAAGGTAAAAGTCGACCTTCACCCAAAAGTGTACTGTTTGGGACAAGCTGATTTCCAATGAGCGTGCTGTTCTGGTTAAAACAGATAAATTCCCTCACACATCTCTCTGTAAGATAAATCTCAATTTTCCATCTTTAAACTCTCCTTTCTGCTAGAAAATTAATCCAGATGTTTTCATTAATGTCTGTGGTGAAGCCACGGAAAACCATGGCTGTATGGTTTCCTGGTTGTAAAACTGATTAATTATGCTGTTGTTGTTTTCATATTTTGCCAAATTAATGCAAATGTTTGATGTTAATCTTTGATTCTGTAAATAAATGACCGCATTCATATAGATTGATGGGTCAAAGATAAATGACGTCTCACGTTTGCATTTCATTAAATTCAATGCACGTTTTATTCAGTCCAGAAAAATGAGGAATCCGTTTTAATTGATGAATATATCTCCGCATCTGTTCATCTACATATTGGTATATATATATATATATATATATATATATGGGAGAGGTAAAGTGAAGTCCTGTTGTCTTACCATCAGCATGGTCTGATGCTCTATCAGAACAACCCTCTTGGTGCTTACGGCCCACACTTTGCTCTCAGCCTCAGAGAGCCACAGCATCAGCAGATGCAGCACTTCATGAAACTCCTGAAGACAAGTTTCAAACTGTTAGCTATTCTGACTATGTGACGTGAGAACTTTTAGGATCTGTGCAGCAGACCCGACACTGCAGCAGAGCAGAGTGCAGCTTCCTCTCCCAGCTCTCCAGAACCTCGCAGGCCTGGGTCCAGCTGTGATTGGCTGAGCTCAGAGCCTCCTGCAGCTCCTGCAGCTCCACGCTGTCACCCAGCAGGAAGTGACCGGCGTTCAGGTTCACAGAGATCATCAGACACTTATAGGTGTTGAAGTTCTTCTGCAACTCCTTTACAGAGCAAAGAGAAAACATGAGACTTCATCTTGTTAGTGCCTGGAGGTACAAACTGGATGGGATCATGGAGTTGGTCTTCTTCAGACAGTATGACGTTACCTTAAGTTTCCTTATGTTGATCTCGATGTCTCGGATGCTGCTGGATGGAGCGATTCGCTGCAGCCTCTCCAGCTCAGGCAGCACCCTGCCCAACCAGGAAGTGATGTCACAAAGGTCATAGCTGAGCCTCTGCCATTGCTCCAGAGCTTCCATCTCCCCAGGGAACTGTGTCTGTTTCAGCTCCCAGCGCTCAATCTCACCTGACCGGAGAAACAGTCAAACAGCAATTTACAATGATGTGTTTTCCCACAATTCCTTTAGCTGACTGGTTCATCTGTGCCTGTATACCTTTACTGGTCTTCTGGTTGCTGCTACTCAGACCTTCATCTAGCAGCTCTTCATTGTCATTCAGGATCAGTTTCACATTCTTCACACAACTGATGCTGCCTCTGCTGTCTGACAGACGTTTAGCCTGAGCAGAAGCACACACAGGTGCAAGAGGCAGAGTTACAGGAAGTAGAGTTACAAGAGGCAGAGTTACAGGAAGTAGAATTACAAGAGGCAGAGTTACAGGAAGTAGAACTACGGGAGGCAGAGTTACAGGAAGTAGAGTTACATTAGACAGAGTTACAGGAAGTAGAGTTACATTAGACAGAGTTACAAGAAGTAGAGTTACAGGAGGCAGAGTTACATGAAGTAGAGTTACATTAGACAGAGTTACAAGAAGTAGAGTTACACGAGGCAGAGTTACAGGAAGTAGAATTACACGAGGCAGAGTTTCAGGAAGTAGAGTTACAGGAGGCAGAGTTACAGAAAGTAGAGTTACATTAGACAGAGTTACAAGAAGTAGAGTTACACGAGGCAGAGTTACAGGAAGAAAAGGTACAGAAGGCAGGGTTACCAGAAGTAAAGTTTCATGACGCAGAGATATAGGTAGCAGAGTTACATTAAGTAGAGGAACAGAAGGCAGTGTTACAGGAAGCAGAATTACAAGAGGAAGTGTTACACAAAGTAGAGTTACAGAAGGTGAGGTTGCAGGAAGTAGAGTTACAGGAGGCATGTTTATAGGAAGTAGAGTTACATTAGGCAGATATATAATAAGTAGAGTTACATGAAGCAACAAGGAAGGAAGTGATACAGAAAATAGAGATACAGGAGATAGGGTTATAGTAAGTAGGGTTATAGGAATAGGAGGCAGAGTAACAAAAAGTAGAATAGCAGCAATTGGAGTTGCAGGAAGAAGAGTTACAGGAAATAAAATTAAGGCTGAGTTACAGGAAGTAGAAAACAAGAAAGCAGAGTTACAGAAGGAAGAGTTATAAGAAGTATAATTACAGGAAGCAGAATTACAGGAAGCTGTTGTCTCTACGTTTATCTGTCTGTGTTTTCTGTCGTGCATGCATGTTCTCACATAGTCCTGCTGGCGGAGAGGAGAGCTGCTGCTCGAAGATGAGTTCAGCTTTGGGAGGAGTTCTCTGGGAAGGTGTTTTGTCTTTGGGGAGCCGGGGTGGTACCAGCTGGGTGGGTCCGTCACAGATCTTACTAAAGAAAAGAAATGAGAAATCATCAAACTAAAACAATAAAACTAAGAACTCATCAACATTTAGGAAAAACAAGGCTGGTTTTTGCCAAACATAGTAAAAATCATGGACGAACAGAGAAACGTCCAGACAGGAAACGTGCGTCTTTGGAAATAGATGGATTTGTTGTTTTGGTCTTGGTTCAGCCTGAAATTGTTGCTCTGTCTACAGGATTCTGTGGCTTCCTTTGAGAAGGCATCTTGTAACATTAGATCTAAGTTACATATGTCAAACTCGAGGCCCGGGGACCAAATGTGGCCCTCGTTGACATCTTATCTGGCCACCAAGATGATATGTTAAATGTAAAATACTTTTTTTTTTTTTTTTTTTCAGTAATCTTTGATTATGATGTCAAAAGTGCAACAGAGAACATCAAATGAGACCAATCAAACTCTTGCTGAGGAACATGTGACCAAGAAAAGATGTTGGGTATCTTGACTTGAGTTAATGTAGATTCTGAAACTGGCCCTTAGTTTGAAAAAGGTTTTAATTTTGGCCCCTTTTGTAAGTGGGTTTGACACCGCAGATTGCACAGCAGCACATTTAGAGAAAACCAAACAGCATGTCAGCACGGTGGTGCAGGACCGATGGTTTGGACGAGTCCATCCATCAGCTGAAGCTTGGAACAAACTGGGTTCAACAGGACCATGGTCCCAAATACAGCGGCTGATCTACAACAGAACGGGTCAGAAAGAACAGAACCAAGGTTCTGCAACGGTCCAGTCAGAGTCCAGAACCTCAGCCTGACTGTTGTGGATCTTGAGAGAACTGAGCAGAAATTTCAATGAAGTGAAGCAACGCTGGAAAGAAAAATGGACCAAAACTCCACAACTACATGAGAGACGGACGAACAGAACATGAGACATTTTTTTTCCTCATCTCCCCTCAGGTGTTTTGATGAAGGGATTTTATTTCTCCTGAATCAGAACTCATTTGAAGAAAATCAAAGGTGAAGAGGAGAGGGCTCATAAAGCAGCAGAGGGTCTTTATTCTTACCTGACAAAGCACTGAAGAAGGTAGCATCTTCATCATCCTCATGCGACGATGATGACCCCCCCACATCAACAGTGTGGTCCCACTCCAGGGGGATGGAGTCCACACTGATGGGGGTCTCTCTTCCTGAGCGCTCACGAGGAGGAACTAGGAGGTGGCACATGGCCTGACTTCCAGCTGAGACTCCGCCCACTGATGGAGATTCGTCGTCCTCCTTCGTCCCCCTTGCCTCCATCCAGGACGTTTGGTTGATCACATCGGGGGAGTGGGTCAGGACTGATTCGTGGTCTGCCATGTCCCTCTCCTCGTTCTGGACCTGCAGGGTGGAAACGTGTCAGAAAAGTTCAGTTCTTATGCTTTTAAACTTCTCAGTTGGCCTTCATCGACCAACTCCAGATGTTTATCCCATCAACAACTCAGGAAGTGTCCCAGAAGTTAGAACCTCAGAAGCTTCCTTCTGACGGCGGCGCTGCGTGCTACTGACCGGCCTTCTGTTGACGAGGCGCTGATGGAAGCGGGCCACCCTCCCAAACACCTCCTGGCAGTAGGAGTGGAGCTCCTCCAGCTCGTCCTCGATCAGAACGGCATCCAGAGGAGAACTCTTCTGGATCAGGTTCTCCCCGAACACAATGAGAGCGTCAATCTTGTTGGTGTTCAGGGTAATCTCCTGCTGGAAGCCCTGCAGACGGACGGAGACCAAAACCAGGCGGTAAACAACCAACAAGAAACAGTCTTCAATAAGAAAAGATCAGAGACGCAGAATGTTTTCTTTATTATTCAGCCATGAAAAAAGATGCTTCTGTTTTCTGGCTGCTTGAATTCTTTTCAGAACATTAATACAAAACATTTTTTATAAATCAGGTTCAGCAGGTTCACAGAAAGAATCTGAATTTTCCATTTCCATCATAAATTTCTAATCTGACTGAGATCCAGACTTTTGTGGGCCGTGTCTCAGAGTTCCTTCTTTTTTCTGAGAGACAGAAAAATGATTTTATCATCAGGAAATCTACTTTTCCCTGATGGAATGAAAACGTGAGTATTTCCTGCAGAGGTAATAACCTCCATCTGCCAACACGCAGCTTCACATCACGGATTGTGAAACTGGGCTGCTGTCCCTCACCTGCTTTACTGGACCAGAACCAAACTTAAGTTCTGCATCATCTCTGTGTGCGGTGCTGCTCTTCAGACCTCTGGGCCAAGCTTTTCTGTTTGATACTAACAGATGGCTCGCCCGGTTATTTGGGATTTCTTACATTAAAATCAGTTTTCTTTCCGATGATTTGGCACGTTCCTTTTCTTTTGTTTCTGACCAGCAGCTGGTTCTGATGAACTCCCTCAGCAGTCAAGCTCTTTACCTCCACTGAACCTTTTTCTACAAAATAAATCAGCTTGGTGAACGTCCCTTAAGATGTGAGGTCAGAATATGATCCAGAGTCATTTCAGACATTGTTGTCTTTTTGTCTAGGAAGCTTTCTCAGCGTGGATTTTAAACATGAGTTTCTGCAGATGAATCTCTCTCCCTTCCCTCCAGAGGGGCATTAGCAGGGCTCAATTTGAGCCTGATCCTGCTGGAACAGGATACGGGAACTCCCTTATTTTGACAGGATGCAGTCCGGTAACCAGTGTTGCCAGGTGTATGATAATTATCGTATTTGTACAACAATTTTGCCCTCTGTGTGATGTACGATCATTAATCCCAAAAAAAGGCCAAATATACGATAATTTGACCATTCCGTGAATGTGTAATCAGTTGTCATCAGCCTGTCACAACTGTCTCAGAGTTTTTTTGTGAACCCTGAAGGCATCTGTGACCGCAAAGAGATGCACAATTGGCTGGAAATTCCAGCCAATTGTGCTTTTGTAAATGTGACCTATGAGTGACGTGTTTGCGTTTGCCTCAGAACAACGGCCATGATTGGATGAATAGTCCGCTGCGCCCGCCCCATGAGTGAGGAAAGGAAAAAAAAAAGAAGCAGAGCCGGTCTGGAATTGGACCCATCACTACTATAGTGCATCAATAAATTTGTTATTTTGGTTATGACGGGTGTACGATAATTTCCCTCAAAATACAATAATTTTATGTCTCTATTACGATAACCCTACATTTCTCACCTGGCAACACTGCCGGTAACTCTTTGCTTGGATCCGGTAACTCTCAGGCTTACCAATAATAAAGGAAGATTAGTTCTCAAACCCTAGATTCACCAAAATATTGAATAAATTTTAGGGATGCACGATATTATCGGCATGGTATCGGTATCAGCCGATATTAGCGTTAAAATTCAATATCGGACATCGGCCATTCCATTAAAATAACTCACCGATATAAAAGGCGCTGTTTTTGCCTGCAGCGGCAGCACAACGTGATGACGTCACTTGCACCTACCTGATCTCACGGCGGAGAGGAAAATTCAAAATGTCGGCAGTGTGGAAGTTTTATTTTTCGTTGGTGAGGATGTCGGATTCCGAAGATTTGTGGACTACATTGAGCCTCGCTGCATCGTCCGCAGTCGGAGATATTTTTCCGACATAACGTTACCCGGGTTACAAGCCGTCATTTCTGACGTCGTTGAGAAGCTAATAGCTAATAGCACGACTTGTTGGGTGAGTTTTACCACAGACGTTTGGACGCCGTGTTAGCCCTGTTAGCATGATTAATCTTACGGCACAATGGATAGACAAAAACTTTGAACTTTAAAAGGCTGTCCTTCATGCACAGGAGTGCAGAGGATCCCACACTGCAGCTGAACCTGGAACAAGCCTCCACAAGTGAGACAGCATCGCAGGTGACTAATGCTAATAAATAATATTCAACACTTTTCATTTAATACAAGTTAAAGTGCTATGCATATGGCTGTTACTGAATATATGTCACCAGCTCTTACAGCTGTTGCACAATTTTTGTAGCAAATAAGCCTAAATAAGAGGAATATGTTCTGACAATGGAAAGTATATAAAATATTGGCATCGGTTATCGGCCAAATAAGTTTTAACATATCGGCATATCGGCCAAAAATCCAATATTGTGCGTCCCTAATAAATTTGGAATAAATGATGACACAAATAGACCGGTCTATGATTTTTTTTTTTTTTTTGCACGAGTCGGATCCTCTATGCCACCTGTCAATCAATCTAGTGGGCTCATCAGCAACTGACCAATCGTCAATCTTAATTTGTCCTGAAGTGAAACGGTGGGGGGTTAGGATGCAAGAGAGAAGGGGAGCATGCTAAACAACTAGTAAAGAAAGAAATAATCTGGCGCTTAAAATGCTACATTTATGAATCACACAAAGCATTTATAAGTAAATTATAAATATGAATTGGTTTGGTATTTTGTGCGCCTAAACGTTGTGTTGTGTTCCGGTATCAGTGTTGGCCTCGGTGAACCTCGGTCTCACACCGCTATTTGTGTTCCGGCATCGTTTGGTTTACAAATTAAGCACTGGGCATTAGAGTCTTGGACTTTTCGTACCTTCAGCTGCCTCATCTTGTCCTCGATGTCGCTCTCAGAGAAGTGCTCCACATTAGTGAGCTGCAGGTCCATCTCTGTGAGCCAGACCAGGATCGCCTCACGACTTCCTTCAAACTCTTCTCTCTGAGAAGTGAAGTGCTGCACGGGACAAAGTTCAGAGTCAGAAAAAAAAACAACAATGAATGTTGTGTTCCATCAGGCAAACATGTTATCAGTCTCTTTATATTTCAGGGGGAGAAACTTAAAGCTGGGGCAGCAGGTGTGAGCTGAGTTTTCTTCCATCATCAGTTTGAAAATCTGTTTTATGAAGAAACATCAGAAGTGGCAGAAATCTGGTTCAAAGCTGATTCCAGCCTTAAAAAAAACAAACGTGCAGATTCTGTGATCCAGTGCTGGCTTGGTTTTATCAGCGTCCCACACGTGTAAAGAACTAACTGGTTAAATCTGATCCAGGTATTCAGCTGGTCGTAACGACAGTTAGGCACAGAGGTCAGCTGATCAGGAAAATCCAAATCTGCTGTTAATATGAAGTCTTGTTACCGTCTGAAAGGTGACCTAAATCCTGACGGATTAGGGCGGAGCTACCCACAGGAGGAAGAGGCAACACATCAGATGGAAAGGTCGGATGTTTGTTTTCTTGTTCATCTTTTCTCCCGTTCTGAAGGTAACGTGTTACTATGATGACCTTTGACCCCTTGTCTCACCTTGAGTCTACGGAGTACAGCCGCCACCCTCCGCTGCAGGAAGTCCCATCGCTGGTTTCCTTCTTGGACCATAACTCGGAGCTTACAGGAAGCATCGGTGCGGTTCTCCCGAGCCAGACGGCGGTACTGTTTGTTGAGCAGCTCCAGCTGAGTGAGCCGCTCTTGAACCTGCCGCTGGAACGCCTGCCAGGAGAAAATGTCACCTCAACACAACCAAAGACTTACATCAAGAGTTTAACTGAACTGTGAGCTGATGAAAGACTAAACAGCATGGACAGTACCGTTTTTATTGTATTTACTGTCAATGCTTCATCTAAAGACTTCCTGTTCAGTGGTCTACCAAAATAAAAGCTGCTTTAGTTAAGACAGAGAGATGAAAATCATCTGACCTCAAACTTCTTTAGTTCCTCCTTGGCATTGGTGTAGAGGACATTGGTGGACTCTGGGTTGGCTGCAGTTACCTCAGCGGTCTTCAGCCATTCTTCAAAACGAGCATAATCATCCAGGAACTTACACCAGAGACGCCATGTCTCCTCAATCCTAAAGACAACAGAGGAACCAGTTCAACTTTTATACTGGAGACACCATGTCGCCTCAATCCTAAAGACAACAGAGGAACCAGTTCAACTTTTACACCAGAGACACCATGTCTCCTCAGTCCTAAGGTCAACAGACAGACTGGTTCAACTTTCACACCAGAGACACCATGTCTCCTCAGTCCTAAAGACAACAGAGGAACCAGTTCAACTTTTATACTGGAGACACCATGTCTCCTCAATCCTAAGGTCAACAGAGGAACCAGTTCAACTTTTACACCAGAGACACCATGTCTCCTCAGTCCTAAGGTCAACAGACAGACTGGTTCAACTTTTACACATCTCACAGAACTTTTATCAAGCCTTTGAAACATTTTGCAGATTGATATTTGGTGTCCTATTATAAACACTTCCTGTTTCGTGGCAAAACGTGCCAACTGAAAGAGTGGTGACTTCAATGCCTGATGGGCGGAGAATGTGTATTTTTGAATGCAAAGCTTTTCAGAGGGGCTGATTTCAACATGTTCCCACATTGGGGACTGTCTCTGACGCTTCAACACTGTGTCAGGACTTACTTCATCCTGCGCTCCATGGACATGGCACAAATGTTTCTCCAGCGCAGGTCCAGGCTGCGGGTGGTCTGCTGGATGGAGTCGCACTCCGAGTCGCTGCCACATGCGTCGACATCATGGAGCAGGGCGTCACACAGCATCAGCACCGACGCCACACTCTCTGCGTGCTGCTCGATGTCCCTCTGCAGGTCCTGCAGGACAATCAGGACGGAGGACCTTTATGGGTGAGGTGATTCAGGCACCATGAAAGCAGAGATTTACAAGAGGAGATCAACCGATACTAGACTGTGTCATCAGGATGGTAAGTGTTAGGAGTACCATGTGGTTTTGAGGTATGAGTCCTCTGAGCCAGCATCTAATTCCGTCTAGCTTCTCAGACCAGTAACCTAAGTGCTAGAGTCTCAGGACCTGGTTGACCTTAAAGATAAAAATGTTCCTGGGCAGCATCCTGGAGGCCAGCAGGCTCCCATCAATCTACAAGGATCAGAGGTGTCTTCTGTCTTCATCATCATCTATATCTTCTAGTCCTTCAGGGGTCTCCACAAGGAAACAGATGTCCCCATCACCCAGCATCCTTCTCTGTCACACCCAGGGCCGGCCCAAGGCATAAGCAAGCAGCTGCTTAGGGCCCCGGAGCCACTAGAGGGCCCCCTAAGTGGAATTGAATTATTATTTATTTTTTTGTTATGGTTTCTATGATTCTATTTAATATTTTAAGTTCAGCTTTTACAAATTGTTGCATACATTTACATAGTGTTAACAACTAATTATTCAACTTAAAATTTATTCTTTAAACTATTTTACGTGGTTTCAAGTAATTGTTTATTTACATTATTTAAGCATTTCCTTGATAATTTTTTTTTTTATTTTGTCCGTTTTTGCACAATTTAATCTATTTTTATGCATCCAAGTTATTTTATCTGTTTGTTGTTGATCTTGCACTACAAATTATTTTAAACATTACTGTTGCATTTCTTTGGAACCAAAGATAATAAGCCAGATGACACTTTTGCTGTAAAACGCATTGCGTACTGTTTTTTTGTTGTTGTAGCGTTTCAATGAGTTCATGTCAGGTGAGTGAATGATCTGATCATCTGACCGTTGATTGCAGTAATCCACATTATTAGCAGAAATAGAGGGCCTCATGGAGGCTTGGGCCGGCCCTGGTCACACCAAACCTCTGAAGATCCTCTGTCACTCCATTCATCAGCGTTCTCCTCTGTTCCTCACCTTGCCAGACATCCAATGTCCAATTTGTCCAGTGTTTTCCCTCCACACATGTCCAAACCATTTCAGCTTCTAACTTGAGATGTCCTTCTAAACGACTCATTTATAGTCCATTTTGTCAAGATTTAAACACCTTAATTTATTTTTTCTCCAGAGTACTCATACCAGTCCAGCTTTCTTCCACCTGCTCCCCCTCACTACTCATCACAAGGTCATCTCCTCTGGTCCACGTAGAACATACAAGGTGTCTCATTTATCATAGGTGATGCTCTGCTGGTTTAAAGTGAAAGTTTCAGCTACAAACACAAATATACAATTACTAAAGAGTTTGGATGTTGTGTGAAATGTAAAAACAATAAAACAAAAGCAGAATGCAATGATTTGTAAATCTCATGAACTTATAAATTATCTACAGAGGAACATGGTAAATTAATCAGATGTCGAAACAAAGAAATTGTATCATTTTTATGGACAAATTGGGTTGTTTTGAAACCCACTGTGAATAAAATGTGGATTTATTTACATGTTACATCCCATCTTTGTCAATGAACCACGGTTGTATTGTGGACATGATTACAAAATAAAAGCGTGATTTTATGAGAGGGACTTTAATGAATCACCCCAAACTTCAACACCAACACAGTAACTGCTGTGTGTGTGTGTGTGTGTGTGTGTGTGTGCATGCGTGTGTGTGTGTGTGTGTGTGTGTGTGCGTGCGTGCGTGTGCGTGCGTGTGTGTGTGTGTGTGTGTGCGCACACTCCATCTGCAGAGTCTGACAGCACTTTTGTTGGTTCTTGCTTGTTCAAGTTACTACTCTCTGGGTTGCTATGACGACAGCTGAAAGCTTTTCCATCCAGGAGTCGTTTCAGCACCCCTCAGCTCCTAATAGGGGTGGGGGGTGCAGGAAGAGAGGTCCCGCCTCTTTCTACAAACCCAGCTCTCCACATCTTTCTCACTTTTCTGTCCCCCCCCCCCCCACCCCCCCCCATCTGTCTGTCATCTGTCTCAATTTCTTTTTCTCCATAACTGGAGCCATTTTTCCATCAGACAAATGCTTCGTTTCTTCAGACACCTTCCTGTCCAAAATCAGACAGACAACTTAGGTCCAATTTGTGTCACCATTTTCTGCTGCATTTCCTAAACTACAGAAACTTGTTAAACTTTCAGCCAAGAAAAATAATAAAAATCAAGAGATGTCTTAAAATCTCCTGAGCAGATAAACCTCAGCATCAGTAGCTGTTATTAAAAATCAAATTATGTAAAGATCTCGAGCGGACGTGTGCAGGACGGGCAGAGGAGCAAAGATTCATTCATTCAAACTTTATTCATACAGATAAATCACACGTGAAGACTCATTTACAAATGAGACGTGATTCACAAAAGATTCATAAAAACACAAACTTTCCAACAGTTTGGTCGATTTAAATCCTGAGACGAGGCCGTCTACATAAATACATAATTACTGACGGCAGAGTCAGAAGATATGTTGTCCTCTGCAGACACATCTACGTCATTTGTCCTCAGTCCAGCTTTGTCCTGGCTCAGGGTCAGAGTGGACCACATGAAGGACATGTGTTGGACATGTGGACCACATGAAGCCAGCAGCAGACAGGCGGAGAAAGGACAGCTCGACTGTCAGCTGGAGTTTTGATTTTGATGCTTTTTTATGGACCGAGCCAGTTTAAGACATGATCCCAGAAGACCTAGCAAGACCAGAGTCATTTGAGACTGAGCTGCACATGGGGGACATCTGAGACATCTCCACATCTGCCTCCATCTCCCAGCATGCTTTGCTGTCACACCATCACTGCACTCTTCGACGTTCTCTGTGGTCTTCTCTGTTCCTCCTTCCTGAGCGGCGTCTTAAACACCCTTTGTCCATTATGTCCACTGTCCCTCCTCTGCATATGTCCACACCATCGTCACCTCAAGAGCTCTGTCTCCAAACCTGAGCTGTCCCTCTGAAGGTCTTCTTATTTCCTGTCTTCAAAGAACATCCACTTCTTCAGGTTCTCTTCCGCCTGCTCCCTACTCTCACTACACATCACATGGTCATTTCCACTGGTCGACGGGAATATTCTTGTATTTTTGTGCAACGATGGCCTCATAAAACTGACTCATGGTGTCTTCGCACCATCGTCCGAGTCAGTTTTGGGCACAAACACACAAATCAACTCATGGATTTATCAACAACGGTCAAGTCTTGTGTTGGACCATGTCTCCTGAACCCTTTCACCTCCACCGGTAACTTTTAGTTGTTCAGAATTCTGCGGTCCTGCAGACAACAAGAACACTAAAAGGCTCGAGTCCATTTAGGTTTTGTGTCCACCTTGGGAGTTGTGTTAGTCCGTACATTTAGCACCTCTCAGCTCAGCGTGGCAGCTTATTCCTCGCTCCTCGGAGCTTGCTGAGTTTCTACTTTGCAGCACTTTTCTGCTCGTGTGCTTTTGGACCACAACAGAGCCACTGTACCATAAATGGTTCTGAAACAGGCGTGGAGTCCCCAAAACAGAGGAGACTCCTCTGGACTCTCGGCCATTTCAAAAGCAGCTTTCTAATGCTGTTCTTTTTAGGGAAGATGTTCGAGTTCAGGAGTTTTATACAAGCTGCAAACTGAAAACTTGTTGATTTGACTGAATAAGATGTTGTTTTACATCTTTGTTCTCAGGGTTTCAGCTGCTGTTTGTTCTTCCTGTTTCACTGCGATTGTTTTTCACTTTGTGATTGGAAATTTCTTTAAACCCAAGAATTAAAGCAGAAGTTGGATCCCAGCTGCAGAGTCCACTCTGATCATTACAACAACTGTAAATTCAGTCAACGAAACTCCGACAAAGAAATTATTTACAGATAATCTCTGAAACACTAACTTGAAGCTGATAAAATATAAAAAGGGACACTTTTACACCACGGGACGAGAAAGGACCTGGGGTCATCGACAATGAGAAAAAGTTTGACTGTAGTTTTTGTCTCAGACTGACTCCCCAAATCTGATTTCTCCTGAGTCTCTTCATCCAACTCATTTACACAATGGACTAAAACTAAGCACCTGATCAGGAGCCAAGCTTTGTTCAGCATTTCTTCAAAAATAAATACATTTTCAAAGTTCTCTGATTTCTTACATCAACATATTAATTAATATATTCCAAAGACTCAGGCTCTGAGTTCAGGCAGACTGTAGCTGTGAAACTAAAAGGAGTTTGAGAGTCGTGGAGGACGTGTTCTGATCCTATTGGTGATGTGATGATCGTTTATTCAAGCCCTCCCTGAACATAAGAGGATCTGAGGTGGAAGTGGTCTCCAGCTACAAGTCCTTGGGTGTACACATGAATGACAACCTCAGTTGGAGCAACAACACCACCAGCCTGATCAAGAAAGCTCATCAGAGACTCTACTTCCTCAGACGGCTGAGACGAGCTGGGAAGCTCAGTCCTCACCTCCTTCTACAGGTGTGCAGTGGAGAGCATCCTGTGCTCCAGCTTCAACGTGTGGCATGGAGGCTGCACAGCTGCAGAAAGAAAAGCTTTGCAGAGAGTGGTGAAGGCTGCACAGAAGATGTTGGAGTCGGTCTCTCCACCATCACAGACATCTACACCTCTAGATGTAGGAAGAGGGCCACCTGCATCATGAAGGACCTCACTCACCCAGCACACATACTTTTTGCCCCACTCCCCTCAGGAAGGAGGTTGAGGAGCATTAAGTGCAGAACCACTAGACTGAGGAACAGCTTCTACCCTGAGGCTGTTCGACTCATGAATCTCTAACCAGAATAATCACAGTGAAAAATCACATCATGTTGCTGCTGATCTGTTTCATGTTGCTGCTGATCTGTTTCATGTTCTTTCATGCTTATCTGCTCACACAGACTCATGTTTGTGCTGCTGTTCGACATGTTGTCTTTATATTATGAGTGCTTAGTGTATTTTTAGTTTAATGTTTTTCTTAGTTCATGTCTTAGATCTTATTACTGTTTTTCTTTGACATTTTATACTTTTGTTGGATGTAACTGGGACCCTGTGTACACAATTTCGTTCCACCACATCTACCACATGTGGTGTGTATGACAAATAAAGAACCTTGAATCTTGAATAAGAACCAGTCCAGAGGACCTGACTCAGCCTTGCTGGATTATGTATTGTTAAATATTTATGTTTCCTTCTGCTTTTAAGCCAATCAACTCCAAACGACATGGGAACCATCAGCTGATGTCTGTTTACATAAAATAAACATTTTTCATTTTCCATCTTTAAAAGCTGTCACATGGAGACATGTGAAATTAAACCTCAACAACTCCAGCTTGTTTGAAACAAACTCTGCGTGTTTGTGCCCACCTGCTGCTCACAGAGCTTCTTCTGAATCTCGTCGCTGTGGCAGACACTGTAGACCACGGGTTTGGACAGTTCTGTCTCGATGCAGGACAGCCACGCCCGCAGGTTGCTCATGTTCTTATCCAGCTGTTGAACCGTCACCAACGTCTCCTTCAGCTTCCTCACCCTGACACCAAGAAAAACAGAAACACATGACATATATACATGACTCAGAATCCAGCCAAGACATTGTTTAATTGGACTCTGGATTGGGACTGTGACGTGAGAAGTGTCATATGTGGGAAAAAAAGACTATTTCAAATATGAGCTGCTCTCCACCACATGATGGATGGATGAAAACAAGCTGCTGTGATCACATCCAAATACAAAAGGCTTTGTGGACTCGGTGTCTGTGTGTGTGTAAGCTGCTACAATACCACTGCCCCCCGTACACACACACCTTGTGTAAGCTGCTACCACCGCACACACCACACAGCTCTGATTCACTCAGCGAGTGGACGAGGGGACGAGTGTCTTCCTGTCAGGGTATGCTCTCTTCCCCCACCACCTCCCATGTTCAGGATCCTTAGATGGATGCACAAAGGCCGGTCCCTTTGTGAGAGGTACTTACAGACCGGTGAGAAGCCTTCTCCTCTATGATAGCTCATGTGCTAACAGGAAGTAGCCCTCCCCCTCTTCTGTCTATTCTCCTCCTTCCCGCCGTTGAGAACATCTGGATGCTGCAGCCTCCTCTTCAGAGACTCAGGCTGTCAGATGTCCCCGATGAAATGTTTTTATACTACATTCATTTCCTTTCCAATGTTCTGCAGCTAAAACAAAAGTGTTTCTCTTAACGTTTCATTTTGTTCATTTTTGCTCAAACTCAGAAGTCTCCTCAGACTAAAATCTCCGTGGAAACTTGGGCCTGCAACACAAGAGCCATCGCCACGGCAACCAGGCCAACGAGAGCGGTTGCGTGTTTCTTCAGGTCATAAATTAATTAAATGGATGGTTCACCGGGCTCAAACTCTGTGTGGGGAAGAAATGTGGGTTTGGACCAGGTGTGAAGGGTGGAGGAGGAAGAGTGCTCGCCAACATCTGTCTCGCGTGCGTCTTATCCAGACAAAGAGCAGAGTGGATGGTGGCCCCCGTGAACGAGGGCCCTGTGGTACAAAGGCTAGTGTCAGCAGACGGCAGCTGCTGGGTGGGAGACAGAGCCCCCGTTCTGTTCTGAGGGACAAAGGCGAGCAGCAGGACAGTGTCAACGTGTCTAATCCCTCTGCACGTCCAACCTCAGCGGTCATCTTGTCCAGCATGGTGAGGCGAGTCACAAACAAAGACCCAGGAATGATTCTGATCAACTCCCTGTGAACTCCAAAGCAGCTTATCCAAATATATGACAGAGTACTGCAGGATTCTGGCTGTGGGCCCAGCGGAGCAGCTCTCCGAACCAAAATATCTTCATGCTCTGCACCAAAACTGACTTTAAAGGACCAGAAGTCATGGAGAGATGAAGGGGGCTGCGAGTTAGAGGCTGGTGAGGGTTATATATTTCAAAAGGCGTTTTCAGTTTCAAGTATTTTTGACTGATTGTCCTAGTGATGACAAAGTATCTGGTAAAAATCCTTAAAGTTTTAAAGGTTGGAAATCCAAAAGGCTGTAAAGCTGTGGTCCTCCATCTGCAGTACAGGTACCATCATCCGTCTTTAAATTGTGAAACAGGTACCACCAGTGGTCCTCGATCTGCAGTACAGGTACCACCAGTGGTCCTCA